TATATATTTTCCAATGGCGTCAAATTGGCGTATGAACTAAGCGATAGTTAAATAAATTGCAGTGTTTCTTACCGGTTACGCCAATCCTTTTTTCCGTAAGCTTATTATACTTAAAATGTATTTTTTTCTTTTAACTTAACACTACAAACTTCCTTGTAACAAGTAAGATACACATCTAGTTCACAAGATTATTTCTTAGTTAAAAAAGGTAACCTAGTTGTTCTAATGTTTATTTTATTTATTTTAATACATATCGATAGAGTTACCTAAGGTCATTGACCTCAAGGTACCTCAGTGAATAAATAACTAACATTTCCACCTGAAATAAAAGGACAGTAAACGTCGGTGGTCCCCAAAAGTAGTTAATCGCATTTAGAGACCGCCTCAGAGCACGAATGGCTTCATTTACGATTTTTATTTCCGGCTAGGGATGGGAATAACGCTTCAAATGTGTAGTAGAATAAACTGCTTATTAAACAATTAAAAATTTATGTTACTTTGTTAATTTTTTAACACAAATTGCTTATGTTATTTTTGTTAGTACATTATTTGCAACAATACAATATCTTGAAGTATAATTAATGAATATGTAATGTTCGACAATCTTTTATAAATATAATTGTAAAAGAGTAAATGCTGTTCTAAAAGCTTTTTATAAATAGAAATAGAAAGACAACAGTAAACAAAATGTTAACATTATACCGATATCGATAAAATACATAATTGAAGTTATCGATACATTTACCATGTTGTACATCACTACGTATAATAAGCGCTATCGGTGTATTGAGATTAACTCGCTTTTATAGCATCAAGTTAGTGTACATTAAATTTAACGATTCCATCGAGCCATTGCTCTAAATTGGCTCGGACAAAGATGGCAAGCGCTGTTTTAACTATTCACTTTATTTACGAAAAACATTCAGAGATCGTAAAACGAATAAAGTCCATTTGATATTGCGAAAACAATGACATTAGGAAGTTCGTGTAGAAATTGTATGCCTTACTGTGTTGAATAAGAAAGGAAAAATCAGTATTAAGTATACTATGTAAATGGAAATAGGCCAAGACTATAAACACATATTAAAAGATACTTATGTACTTGAGCGTTTTTTACATATTACAGGCGTGAAATGAAAGCAATTCCGTGTTGCGTTTGATGAGTGTGGTGCCGAAGGCCTAATTTAAGTCCCTTTCTCTTTACCATCCTATTATAAGGACAGGATGGGAAGAGGAAGTGGATTTGGAGGAGACGCATAGGAAGGGGAAATGTCCTCTTTATGTGCGTCTTCTCCTCCGTCGGATAAGGGTAGGCAGGTCATCTGCAATTAAGGATGTCTATGGGCAGCGGTCGCTTCGCCATTTTGGCGGATTTAGGTGACCGGGTGCTCGTTTGCCACCCTATTTCATAAAAAAAGGTGGTAAACGAGCAAGTAAATTCGTCAATAAAGGCGAAGCGGCTATTGCCTATTATTCCTTCCTAGAGAAGACGTTTGTAAACGCGTTTTTGTCAAATATTTTCTTTTGTTTAGAGTGTGAAAATAACTTATTATTTTAACTACAAGTTTTAATATTAAATGTCTTCTAAGCAATACGAAGCTACCACACTAAAAACAATTATCGATGTAATCATGGCACCCTCACGCTCACGGCGACTAATTAGAATCGGTCGAACAACTTGCAATGATCCGACCGTGCGGTTGGATAATGAAAAATCGGCCGGAAATTCACGACAATAAGGAATTTGATCTGTTTATTTTGCTGGATTCATATTCAATTAAAGAGTAAATTATCATTTTTTAACAAATTTGCATCTTTATCTATACTAACATTAGAAAGAAAGATTTGTATTTGGGTATCTATTTAAAAAACTCAAAAACTACTGGGCAATTTTTAAAAATTCTTTCATCGTTAAAAAGCTACGTTATCACTCAGTAACATGGCCTATATCTTTTACTGTTTTTTAATTTCATGTGGACCATGTCGGGAGAAATAGCTACTTTGATTATACAATGCTATACAGATTTAGTGAATGTCTACCATTATGCTTTCAAAAAGGGCTTTTATATTTATATTGTAAATCTTGTTAAGGACACTATTGTCGCCCCAATTAGCGTTTCGTCTTGTTTGTCGATGTCTCAGGTGTTCTTACAAATTACTTTTCATTGTGTTTAGCTAAGGGCACAGAAAAGCGTGTCATAAAATTAGAAAAAGTGCCTGAAGGGGGCCCTTTATCCTACTCGGATAGTCTTTTATGACCCTATTATAAAATGGTCTTTATGTGAAATTTTATTGCTAAAAGACTTACCGTAATTTCGTCACGGCGAAGCGCACGATGAGATTGAGTTAAGGATCTATTAAAAGTTTACCAGCCTTGAGGTATTCAGGTCAGAATCTGTAAGATTACGAGCTTAAAGTCAATTAAATAGCTTTTATGGCTTTAATTTTAATTCAAGATTTTGACTCAAAATTTCTAGTCATTAATTTTTCATGCTAATTCCTCGTCTAACTATTACAAGAAAAATAATTGCTGAACTAGAATGGAATTAAGCTATTTCTACAGAACTTTAACCTAAAATGTTTGAAACTTAAATTGGATTCGTTCTAAAAGCGACAAAGCATATTTATAACAATAATTAAATTATTAATTCCTTAGTGTTTTTGGTCAAGGTTGCGAGAGTATCCTGGATGCGTGACCGATCATCGTGGCGATCTTCTGGGGAGGCCTATGCCCAGCATTGGGCATCCTATGGCTGAGCAGTAGTAGTGTTTTTGGTCTGATAAATTCACGAAATTCGTTTTCGAACTATGTATCTTGAGTTTTAGGTCAACCTAACACTAATATGTCACTACGTAATGATAAAAAAAAATGGAAAGTTGAGAAACCCAGCATTAGAATTCGTTCTATTATAATTTCTATTATAATCTATTATAATTCGTTATAATAGATAAAAAACAGAAAAGCTTTTTTAATATCTTTTTGCTGATCGTAATGTTAGCAGTTCAAAACCATCACCTTTATACAAATCCTTCCTGAGCGATAATAAAATAGGCATTCCATCAAAACCGTCCCTTGTCTCATATAAACAATAGATATAAAACGAGCCAAGTGGAACACCCCTTTCGAATTCGGCGGACTCAGCACCCGTCATGCTTGTCATGCATATACAGGCTGATTGAATTTTCCTTTCACAAAAAAAAAATATTTTCACCGGTTAAAAACATTAAAATATAAACAGAACAATTTACTATGCTAACTCATAAAATTATATTTTTTCACAAATAACAATTTAATCGACACAAACTTTAATCCAAGCGAATTTAAGCAAAAAATCACATATTCATGAAAATCGTATTTTAAGTTTCAAGAGATGTATTCCAATACTATCAGGAAAATTAAGTTTATTATTAAAAGTATTGGTTCTTAGATATATTTGTATTGTTTTTATTTTTCTGCGATAATTTTGTACCCTCCTGTATATCAGCAATGCATATGCATTTGTAGTGTAAGTTGAGTTGTCCGATGTGAAATCAATCACTGCCTCCACTGGACACCTGATGCCGTCTGTCAATCCCGGACACGATACATATGAACTACGTCATTGTTTAATTTCATGTAATTGAACCTTCGCGTATAAACATCTGCTAACCAACGTATTTACGTTGAACTCTCTGTAATTTAATTCGTATTCCTATAACTATCGAGTATAGATCACTTATTGTCAGAGTGATAATAGAGGACATTGCTTATGAATACTTTAAACAAAGGTCTGTAGTTAGATAATCTTTACACCATGCACAATGTGCTAGTTAAATCTTATAAACTTTTTAATAAAAAAGACAAAACCGACTTCCAAACTTAATGTTCTCAAAAAAACAGTACACTAAAAAGCAACGAAATAATTCCTTGCAAATAGTAAACCTACCTTGTTGTTGCTGTTATGTCTATATTGTACAATTATTATTATTGTCGGTGTCTACTTCTTTTGGGAAGTCGGTCAAAAAGGTTCCGGGTTTGTGAAATTTTTGAGGGAGAACTAACCAGTGATTGACATAGTCACTAAAATATCACAACTGATGTTCGATTGTCGATTGTTTCGCAATTCGACTGTTTAGTTGCACAACTAAAAATCGACTGTGCGCACCTCCATATAAGTTTATAGAAATCAAAGTAGGACTAAACAGTTTTGCGATAGTTTTAGAAAAAGGTGTGCTCATAGTTTTACTATTCCATTATAATTTGATTGTACAAGATATTGTTATAGTAATAAAACATTGGCCGTTCTTTTGCTTTATTGGCGATGGTCGACAGTAAAGTATGGCGCTCCGAATAGCGTGAGTTGCCACAATCTGTTAGAGCTTGCACGTTAGTTACTACAAATAGGATATAAAATCTATTGCTTTTAAAATATTTTTTAAAAATGGCGTGTTCGATAAATTATTAAAAAAACTAACAATTATTTGTTCAATAGTTTATATCGAATTTAATTTTAATAATGTATTTGTTTTGTACTCGATAAAAAGAATTTATTGAACATTTATGTAAACCTAACTAATATTATAAATGCGAAAGTTTAGATGGATGGATATATGTTAGAGGTTATAGCCTAAGCGGCTGAACGGATTTCGATGACATTAGGTATAGATGTAGAGGATAGTCTGGAAAAGCATATAGGCTACTCACTTTTGTATTTTTTAATTCCACGCGGACGAACCGCGGGCGAAAGCTAGTCAACTTCTAAATAGAGGATGTTATCAATTCAATTGTTTATTACGTTTTTCTCTTTTAGCATAAAATATTACATTTACGTAATATTTCTTTATTTTGATGTGGAGTGTCGTTTTGCACCCATTTTTAGGGTCATATTTTAAAGGTTTGTTAAAAGTTAAAAGCTACGCTGTTATGTTTGAATAGTCAAGTAATTTATTTAGTAGCGTATATTGTATATTATTTAACATAAGAAATGTAATAAAAAAAGTATTTAAGAACACAACATGCAGCAATTGGGTAAGTTAACATAATTAATATTCTAGTACGAAGCTATAATATTTTCTATTCTAAATAATAAAAAGCACATCATTTAAACACAAAGGCACACAGCAAATCATTATTTTATATGACAATAGAAAAATCTCTTTACAAGTTTTTAGATTGTCATATAAAATAATTTAAGAAACTTTCATATGTCCTTCAACGCGTCTCGGTAAGGACGGTCACAGATACGAGGAATTCTCTGAGGTCCGCGAATTGCGCTCGTCATTTCGTAAACTGGCTTTAATTCCTCTTGAGTCACACCCTGTAATTACCACAACATAATGTAAATGTAAAAATTGACACACTTTACAAGTGGCATGATTATTTCCGCCTTTAGCCAGAACAGATAAACATGTTCAGATTAAATTTGCAACAAAGATAAATTACAATCTGAAATACATAGGCTTTTTTAATTCCCTGTAGAACAAGGTAATAGTTATTTACACAAATCTATAATATTAGAACTCTCAGTCTAAAATCTACATTCTAGGACCTACTTAAGTATAGTTAAACGACTGAGAGAGGCATTTAGAAAGCGTTAGTAGAGGAATTCGTCTTTTTTAATTTTTTTCCTATAATTTTAGAGTTTATTTGAATACCTCTTGTCGTCGGTATACGACCACAGAAATCATTCTGCCCCACAACATCTGCAGTAGGAAAGGACCTGCTTGGTCGTTCGTCTCCAGCAAATGGAGTTGCATTATATCGTCGTGTGTTATAGCTTTGCCTGGAAAACAAATACACTTAATTAGACGTAACAATTTCAGTTTAAATAATAATTTCTGAACCGAATGTGGTCATGTGAAATACTTTTTTTTTAATAAATGGTTACGAATAAGCAATGTGTCAAATGATATTACGAAAAAAACGAACCTAACCGCTGCGACAACTGCAAAAGTTATCTATCATTCATATACAGAGGAGGAGACCAGCAGGAACAGGATATATCCCTATCCTCTAGATATCCTCCCCTACCAACTCATCGTCCTTTCCTTTGATTTTAAACAGATAAGACTTTATAACTAATTGTGGAAATAAACAAGTAGCAAAACCTAATGTCCATGGGAAGAGGTCACTTCGCTATTTTGGTATATTCCGGTTGATGCTTGTTTATTTGTTACCTTACAATATAAAATACAGCACTTACTAAGTTCAGTCTTGTCAGTATCCAATGACAAAACTTGTCGGAAGCATCCATTGACACCGTCAATAGACATTGACCAGACATCGAAGGGCCTTTCGGAATGATATCGCTGTCTTATAATGGTACCTTCGGAATCAGTTAATCTGTCTACTTTATGTTTACTTCCTACGGTGTTGTTCACAAGCCATTGTAGACCAGCCTGTAATGCAACGTTAATAGCACTAATGCGGGCTACACACGTTAGGATTTGCAAAACGATTTAACCTCATGATAACCTATGGAGACTCTCTATTTTTAATGTGTGTGACCAGCATAATGTATTGCATTTTCAAAGGTATGTAATAACAGCAATTGTTACAAAGTATGGACAAAAAAAACACGTTTATTACGATAAACTAACAGAGTTCACAATTACCAGTAAATAGTTTTTTTCAATTCAAAAAAGCTCTTTATTTTCTATTTCTACTGAGAAAGTTAATAAAGCAATTAATGGATACTTTATCTGAGATTCGTTAACTGTACGACAATCTTACTAATGTTATAAATGCGAAAGTTTAGATAGATGGATGTTTGTTAAAGTTTGTAGCCTAAACGGCTAATCAGATCTCTATTAAATTTGGCATATATGAACAGGATAGTCTGGAAGAACACATAGGCTACACACTTTTGTTTTTTTAATTCCACGCGGACGTAGCCACGGGCGCAAGCTAGTATATTTTTTTAATTACTTACCGCATCTGTTTCGCTGAAATCCACTTTATAGCATGTTATCTTGTCTCGGTTATCAGGGAACAATTTTTCTGGTATTATAGCGACCACATGCCAAGTTCCTACCATTTCTTTGACGGTGAAATTAGCTTGATAATCGTCGCATGGCCAGTTAATACCCTTGGCCGTTGCTATTGATAGAAGAAACACGTATAGCAAGGGGTATGGGAGTTCCATAATCGCTGGTTGAAATCGGCACGTGCGTATACCACAACGCTTCGTGTGAGATAGTAGGTAATGCTTGGGTATAAATCTTTTTGCACGTTGCTTATAAATGTTTAGACGTGGCCAATAAAAAAAAATGTTTTTTACTTAATATTCCGGGAAATATCTATTTATTTTCAAGTAATTATTTCGAATGATTTTTCAACATTAATTGAAAATACAATAACATGGTTAAATTAAATTGTGTTTGCCTTAAAATTAGTCTTCAATTCGTAAATTAAAAAAATACTTATTTTACCTTAGATATGCCAACTAGAGTTGCCAATATAGATATTTAAATTTGATTAACGACAGCCGTTTTGTAAAGTTATTCCAAAATATTTATCTTCTGTCCTATCTAGTACTTTCCTAAGCTCTACAGTAGTGGCGACAGGATTATTGCGTGTGATGGAAGGATGTAGTTTTGTCAATAGGATAATGTCGTTGTGCGAACATGCAACGACCCACATAATGGCCGCAATTGGACAGCGGCGGCAGTCCACGAGAGTTTACAAGCTTGAAATAGAATTTAGCTGTTATTGTTGTTATTAGTTACTTAATTAAGAAGTTTGTTAACCAAAAAAAGATATATATATACTATTTGATTCTATCTTTTTTCTTATGGTTAATAATTAATGTAATCATAATTTAGTAGTTAATTTATTTGTCTGTAATTGTCTAAGAATATTTTTTGGTAATTGGATTTGACGGGGGATGAGACACATAAACGGAAATGTGCTCATTCTGTATCTACATTCCTCTGTTTATGGCAACGCATCTGTAGAAACGGATATCGGCAGTTGTCGCTTGGTTAAATTGACGAATTCCGGTGGCCGCTTGCTTATTTGTTATTACTATAAAAATCTTAATAATTGTTTTAAAACTGACATAGTTATAATCATCATCATCATCTCCCCTGCCTTATCCTACTCCCGTAGGGTCGGCGCACCGGGTTTTCGTCCTCCAAAGCACTCTATCATCCGTCATCTCAGTCATCACTCCCTTCTTGATCATGTCACCTTTCACGCAATCTATCCATCTCTTTCTAGGTCTACCTCTACCGATGTACCCCTCCACATTCATAACTAACATCTTTCTTGTCACATGCGATTCATCCCTTCTCATAACATGTCCATACCACTCTAACCTTTTACTCCTTATTTTCTCAACCACTGGGGCTACTCTCAAACTTCCTCTAATATACTCATATAGATAGTTGGACATAGTTATAATATTTTATGTAATAAGTTAATTATAAAAATTACATGATTTTTGACATATGTTTCTATAACAATGTAAAAAGTCGTAAATTTTTTATACCACAGTGAGTTTAAAATATTCCCCATTCCATTAATCTCGAAAAACACAAATGAACTCAAAGACTACGAATATCCATCTTTCTTAAAGAAAATACGGTCATTGTTTAAAAAGTCGAAACCTACATACATTTAGTTGAACAAAGGCAGTAAAAACGGTTTATGGACTTGTTATTGCCGTCCCAACGGACAAGAGCGGTGCCGCAAAACACAGGCGATAAGCGATTTATAATAATGACACGCAAATTATTTCTCTTACGTCAACTTTCTGACATTCCGCTTTTGATTTAAGATGGACGCTTGCACGTTTGTCCTTGTACAAATAACAATAAGAAAATCGCAGTTCATTCAATGCCTAAAATAATTTACATGTAGATTTGATGATTGCATGGCAATTTCATTTACTTTTTTAAAGGTTTAGATTTTTTGTATAATTCTAAATAAAAATTTCTAACATAGGAAGAATTACGTCTAGTTCATTTTTGTAATGTTAAATGATATAAAATAATGCATTTTTATATATAAAATAAATCGAGTAATTCTTACGACTTGGACCACACCCAAACAATGGAGCGATGGAAACAGATTTTAATGCATCCTATGAAAATCTTCATTCAGAGCATCCCTTTGAATTTTAATATAAATTCTGAATCGAGACTTTATTAGCGTTTCAGGAAAGATGTAATAAATGCGAAAAATATTATTTTAGAGCAATAATAAATGGAGCGTTAACTCCGGTTGATGTAAAATGGGATCACTGTATGAATTTTTAATTTTATACATTCCCGTCATCTTACTAACATAATAAATGGGAAAGTTTAGGATGGATTAGGATTCTTAGAATTTGTAACCTTAACAGCTGAACGGATCTCGATGAAACTTGGCATAGACGTAGAGGATAGTATGTATAAGCACATAGGCTACCCACTTTTGTTTTTGTAATTCCTCGAGTTTTGCTTTGTATTTTTTAACTCGACAGTTTTTAAAGAACATTTCGTTATATTTTATATTGATGTCAGTAATTAATCTTACCCTTTCACGAGCTGTTAGCGATGGAAACCTCGAGGTTCCAATGTTGAAGCCTCATTAACTATGAATATTCATGAAAAGTGCGCCGAAAGGACGGAATAACCCTTTTATTTTTATTACACGCAAACTTTGGCAACATTCATTTTAATATAAACTAAGGAAATAATGTCATTTTAATTGAATTATAAGTAGTTTAGTAACGTCTTTAAGTGAATTTATTTACGTTTATAGTTTTTGAATACGCTAAACTTTGGCGATGGCGTGGGTTCTGTTCACATTGTTCATGCCGTGACTTGCAAGGCGAGTAAATAGATCTGCAGGTCAAAAATTTTCTCAAAAGATCTTATATACAATACGATATAGACGTGGGGGCCTTCAAAAGGAGAGTGAGCTACCTATTAAGCTAGCGGGTACCATCTTTCAACTGCATCTTCACTTCCTTCAGGTGGGATCATGGTCAAGCGCTAGCTTAATAAATAATAAAAAAATAAAGGAAGACAGACGAGATGTATAGATATTTTCATAAGTATGAAATAGAAAGTTATAAGAAGATTTTCTTTAGTAATGCATAGCATATTACCGAATACAGAAGTAGATTGGGACATAAAGTTAGGTGACGGCGTCTGTCTGTCACTTAACTGCGACATGTAGAGCTCTCTCTATCGGCGCAATCAGGACTCGATGCCGTTTATTGAAATCTCAGCTATTGTTACACAGAGCATTAAATATTCAGAGAGTTCACATTGAAATAAAAGGATGTACGATGAGTTCCGTGGACTTAAAAAATTGTGTTGGAATAAAAACTGGCTATACAATCGACTAAATAAGTCTCTTATATTCAAAATATTTTTTTAAATACGCCAAAATGAATGCTTTGTAAAGAAAGCTAGTAGTACAAGTTTAGCCATTTTCACTCACGTTTCACGTAAATTTCACAACAGCAAAGTTTACTATTTTTTAAATTTTCCAACAAAGGGATTCATTGTTGTTCATTATTTAAACGATATCTCTGTCAATTCATTACACTATGGTGTAAGATGATTGTCACAGATAGGCATGAGAGGGCGGCAGTTCGTAAAGTTTTACGAGCAGCATCCGACACGATCAAGCTCTCTGTAATACAATCCATAACCAGTAGTGGGGGCACTAACATAATGTACTGCGGTCATTCACACGCCTATGAAACTATTGCAACTTGATTGAATCCGTGGCGTCTGCTTGTGATCTTATGATATGAAATGTTTTAAAGAAAATTTTGAATTGTTGGTTCTACAAATATGTAAAATGTATTCGAAAATGACGCGCAATACTTTAAAAGGCGACTACAGTAGGACCAATCTTGGTGGTTTTTGGGTTTTGAACATTAACAAAGTTCTTTAGTTTCGCTTTTGTTTAGCGGTCAGATGAGTTTATCTATCTATCTTAAAATAAGAAAGAAAACCTTGTATAATTAATTACTTTTGCAATGCGCATTTAAATCAAATTTAACCAAACTATACTTAATACAAAGACATTTTTTATTTTCGGACTTTTATATGTATTAAAATAACTCAAATACCTGGCCGATTACAAAAATTCTTCCACCATTAAATAGCTGTATAACATAGGCTACATTTTTAATATACATTTTTTTTTTTAATTCCGTGCAGACAAAGTCGCCAGAAAATACTTAAATTTCATATTCTAATACTCATCATTACTGGTAAAATAATTAAATATACATCAATTTACTTCTAACAACATGTCCGTCTATTGCATCGTCGCGAATGCATTAAGTTAAAAAATAGCATGTCTGACGTTTTAATGCATTCAGATCGCTTAAGTCGGGGTTATTGCGCGGGTGTGTCCGCCGCACCTAAACTATACAAATCGCGTATAAATTCCCTTCTACCATAGTGTAATATTTTTTTTTTATAATATAAGGTTGCAAACGAGCAAGCGGCCACCTGAATCCACCGAAATGGAGCGACCGCTGCCCATAAACATCCGCAATTGCAGATGCGTTGCCTACCCTTAATTGACGGAGAAGATGCACATAAAGAAGAGATTTCCCCTTCCAATGCGTCTCCTCCAGCATCAATTCCACTTTTCCTTCCCATCCTTTCCTCTTAAAAAAGGATGGAAAGGAAAACGGACTAAAATTAGTCCTCCGGTACCACACTCATCAGACGAAACGCGGAATTGTTTCCACTTCACACCTGTTTTCTGTGTGGTCGTGGTATTACACCGGGCGAGTCGACCCATTCGTGCGAAGATGTTAAAGCGGGCTCTACCACTATAAGAATTTGGGAATTGTTCAATGCATCCGTCATGTAGCGCAAAACTTTTTGTTTCACGTTGATAAAGAGGAAAGATTCGCATTTTTATATTCTTTCACCATTGGAAGGGTAATTTATCAGTGAGTGGCATACGCTATCCTTTTTAGTTTTCACGCAGGCGTAGTATAGAGCAATGGCTAGTAAATGATGTAAATGAAGTGAATAAGTGAACTAGAGATCGTATTATTAAATGAATGACGGAATTAATGAATGAATGAACGATTGCGAACCCAAAGCCCAGTACCTTTATTAAGTGGAATGAAACCAGAATTTATCACTAAACCATTATCTTGTCTTGAAAGATTTCATTAAAAATGCAATCCCTAAAGTATCTTCACCCTTTCA